ACATGTTTGACAAACAAACAAAAATGAATACATAACGACCACAGTCAGACCGCAACACCTGAGGTCATAAGTAGCATGCCTCACCTACAGCACCTGGCTCATCACTTTCCTGCTCTAGATCAGAAGGCTGAGATCCTACTCTTGCTGGGAAATAATACCCCACGCTCCTTTCTCTTCTCCGAGTCAGTCGGTGGCCCTGTAGACAGCCCAATGGCCGTCAAATCTCCACTAGGATGGTGGATCGTAGGAATTGTCAGTGTCGCTCAGATGCAGGCTCCAACCCAGGCAAATGCCTTAGCACCATCCATTCCAACCGCCTTCCAACGCCCTTTAGCACCATTGAAAACAAGAATGACGTTCCAGCCCAAAAGGCTGCCGGCGATCAGTACACTTTCACTAGGACACCCTAAACAGCCGCCAACAACCACCAGACGTCCACTAAGATGCTCTACATGGGCATATGCCTCCACAACACCCTTTCCAACAGCTTCCCGACACCCTTTGACACCGTGGAAGCAAGAGTACCATTCCAATCCTAAAAGGCCGCCAGAAGCGACCACCAGACTTTCACCTTTGCCATAAAGAGTACCTGTACACCCTAAAAGGCCACCAGGGATGACCAGCAGACTTGCACCAAGAGGCCGAACTTGAAGATTGAACCTCAAGCTTTGCATGCTTTGCTTTGTTTGATGCTTTATTAATGTTTACTGTTTTTCTTAGTTATATAGTTATCTGCTATTCATAGTATTACTGTTTACTGATTTTCTTAGTTTATAGTTAATTTTTTTTCTCCTCTTTAATAGTGGAATTTACAATTCCAGGCGGGGAGTGTGCTGTCCCAAACAGTCTATGGGAATTGGATAGTTACTTAGGAATTATGAGCTGTCCCCTTAAGGGAAGGCATCATGGTAAATGTAGTTAAAGGTATCCTGGGAAATGTAATACATATCATGTGACCACACTCTAAAAGGTGACCAAAAGGTGACCAAAAGGTGATTGGTCACTAAATTGACCCTCAAGGGGTTGGGGGAAGTTTTCCTCACTCTTGCCTGAACTCACGAACTCATGGCAGCTTCTTTCTATCGCTACAAGATGGGTTAGGAGATAACCATCTTTTACTACAAGACAGATATACAAAGGATTGGTCATTAAAGAAGAACTTCATCACAAACGTGAGTAATGAGGATACCTGATGAACCAATAAATGTAATTTGTTATGGACGTCTTGTTGAGTTATCTATCTGCATCTGTACAGTTTATAAATCCACCTCTGTGCAGAAGGCAGAAAAATTGTGCTCATACGTCAAGGACTACCTGTATTTCATTGTCACTCTGCTTCTCAACATCTCAAAGGCAATTACTCACATTAGTCAGTCCCAAATTAAAGCCTTGGGAATAGTGAGTGAAGTTCTTAAAGTCTCATACCTTAGGAGATTTTTTTTTCACCCTGGAGGTGTGAGATTTTCAGTTGCCTGACTGATGCAATAATTAATCAGCCATTCTTTCAAAACAAAGCAATTACTTACCATAGCTTGTTCAACATAGCAGAAGTTAATGGGAAGTGGAAAGTATTTTATTGTAGGAATGCAGCTAAAAGTGAAGCACCAGGAGAAAGCCTAAAAATCATGTGTGAAAGTAATATATACTACCTAGCAGGTAATAATGGCTTTGGGATTGACATTGGATTGTTGTGAAGAATATTTGAATTTCTAAAAATCATCAGGGAAAAGATCGTAATACAAAGGTGGATGATTAAATGCATCGGTAAGAAAGCAAATATGGACGTAAGACACAATCTTGATGCTTAGAATAATAATAATGAGTCCTGGGGGTGGGGGGAATCAAATGCATTTCCAGAAGACAGACCTACATATTTTCACCCAGAAACTGAAACTGCAGATGTAATAATGAAAGGACATCTGTTCAGATCCGCAATTTTCTCTAAAGAAATGGATAGAATTTACAGCCAGGATGTTTTTTCTAATGCTGAATAACTGTTGTTTTTAAAAAAAATCCGTTTGATAGTGGAAAATAGCTCAGCAAAGGAGTCAAAGATGTTCTGACTGCAGGTGTGTGAACTTTGTGTGTGTATCTGTATATGTGTCCCAAAGGTGCTTTTTTCAGGAGGCACTGGAGTTTCTTGTTTTTGCTTTTGAAGACATTTCTCTTCTCATCCAAGAAGCTTCTTCAGCTCTTACAGGACAGTGGGGAATGGAAGGATTTATATTCCTTGCAGACAGCTGGTCATTTGCATCCTTTTAGAGGGTCCTTGAAGCACTTGGAAGTTTATCTGTGTCCTCAGGATCACCTGAGTGGTGCTCCTGGTTCCTGTAGTCTGAAATTTTTCCTCTGGAAATCCATTCCTACTCCCGCACCATTCAAAGGGTGTTCATCCCAAATTGAATAGCTAAAAAGTCTGTAGAGATTCTCAGTCATGACCTGGATGACTAAGAATCTCTACAGACATCTGAATATGTGATTCTTATCCAACTATTACCAGCTTTGACTTAGTTTTCATCTCAACCTCCCATGATTTTCTAGCTTTAATTCCAATATTTTCTGTTATGTTTTCAGGAGAAGTCGCAATAGAAATAATGAATAGAACTTTGTGGACCGAATTCATTCTTCTTGGACTTCTGAATCACACGGTGATGCATACAGTTTTCTTTGGGGCGATCCTACTGACTTTTTTTGTTGCCTTACTGGGAAACTGTCTTTTCTTTTTTGTAATTGTCACAGGTTCATATTCCAGAGTCCCTATGTACTTTTTCCTCAGCCAGCTCTCCTTTATAGACACCTGCCAGGTTTCTAGCATTGTCCCCAAAATGTCCATGGATTTTTGGAAAAAAGATAATACAATTTCATTGCCTGGATGTGGGATTCAGATTTTTTCCACTTTTATGATGGGAGGAGCCGAGTGCCTCCTACTGACCGTCATGTCTTATGACCGGTACGTGGCCATTTGCAAACCTTTGCACTATCCAGTTCTCATGAGCAGAAGGGTATGTGTGACCATGTCGGGCGGAGTCTGGCTTGGGGCAATTCTTCATTCAATCATGCACACTTTTTATGTGCTCCAGCTACCTTTCTGTAAGTCTAATAGAGTGAATCAGTTCTTTTGCACAATTCAAGCTCTGCTGAAATTATCTTGTTCTGAAACATCCACCTATGAAAATTTGTTTTTCCTAACTGGCAGTGTACTACTCTTGGGTCCCTTCTCCATTGTCCTGGCTTCCTACATCTCTATCCTTTTGACGGTCCTGGGAATGCAATCAGTGGAGGGAAGGCATAAAGCATTTGGCACATGTGTCTCCCACCTCTGTGTGGTGGGGCTCTTCTATGGGGCAGCAAGTTTTAAATATATGAGACCCAGATCTTACAGAACACCAGAACAGGATAAGGTGGCCTCTTTGTTCTGTGACATTGTGACTCCCATGCTGAATCCCTTGATATACAGTTTGAGGAACCGTGATATGCTAGTAGAACTGAAAAAGCACATTCAGAAATGTAGGTTGTCTATCTAAACCACCTAACAAGGGCCACATCAATGTGGTTATTTGGAAGAGAATAAAAAGAGAAAATATTATGTAACAGTCAGGAGTAGCAATTACTAACAGTCTAATCCTCTATGAAATCATCAAAGCTATTCAGCTTAGTGGCTGTTGCATCTTGTAATAGAGGAGTTCATACTGAAATTACAGTATATGCTAAACTATGTGAGGCTGGGGCTCCTTTTGTTTGTCTTATATTATTCCGTTTGTATTAAAAAATGGGAGAAAAATGTCTCCATACAATACATAATTTTACATTTCACCAACACTCTGAGTCAGGGGAGATCATTAGATGGTTCTATCTGAGCCCAAAGTCCATAGAATTTTAAGTTCTTATAAAGCAAGAATGTTCCTATCCTGCTTTCTGGAAAATATGAGAGTGTGTGGTTTCCTAAAATTAAAAATATGCAAGCTGTAAAAACTGCTTGATATTTTAAAATCCCTATATGTTGCTTAAGTTTGTTTTCTAATGTGCGTGTGTAAGGATACTGTCATAGCTCTGGTCTCCAAAGATGACCCCATAAACTTTATCAAAGTCAACCAGTGCAACAACCAAGTTGACAGAGGAGATATGATTGAGTTATTGAGGGGCACATGGTCTTCTCTTAGTAACATTAATACATCTTCAACCTTGGGAAGGATTGTGTGATACTAGGGAATACCAGTCTATTCCCAAATACAGCCTAGCAGCCTCCTTGTCCTACTTCACTTTTAGATTGTGTTGAAAAAAAATAAACAAATGTCTAAAATGCTACAGAGCAAACAGCTGGTAGCACTGTAGTTTTTGCAGCAATGCTGTGGCCTCCACAAATGCTCCACCAAGATGTTAGCATGTTAAAGTAATGTTTTGGGGCAGTCTATCCCTTCCCATAAAGGGGGCACTATGGCTCAGTGGTAAAAGACACTGAGCTTGTCAGCTGGAAAGCTCATAGCCTGGGTTCCAGAACCGAGTGCTGCACAATGGGGTGAGTTCCCGTTCTTTGCCGCAGCTCCTACCCACCTGGCAATTTGAAAGAAGTTTGAAAGTATGAAAATGTGAGTAGATAAATAGGTACCACTTTGGTGGGAATGTAACAGCTTTCCATGCACCTTGGAGTATAGTCATGCTGGCCTCATGACCACAGAAAGTATCTTCAGACAACGTTTCATCCCCTAATTTGTAGTTATGGTCCATAATATTAGAATGAATAGAAGTATGTTGAAATAGTTTGTATAAAATATAGAATATTATGTAATTATAGATGCCAGATAGCATTGGCTCTTATGTTCAGATCACTTTCTTTAACTCGTCTGCTGAGGCATTAGATCTGTCTTTATATAGCAAGACCATAAATAGAAAAATAAAGAAAGAGTATAAACAATACCATTGAGATTTAAAATATTTCATTTAGAAATTAGAAAGCATTATCGGTTAGAAACAACAACACGAGCTGCTCCCAAACTCTTATGTGGAGTCACAGCCAAATGATTGTTCTGTAAGAAAATTATTCTTCGATAAACCAGTAAATGCTTCCGCATTAAACTACTCCTTTTATGCATTGTGGATATTAATTGCTTCCCTTATGGCAGATTTCATTGAAGTTTCAATCCAACCATGTGGATGAGCTGTGTATTCACCCGAAAAGTAGATCCTCCCTTCATTTTGGGCCAGTATCTGAGAATAATGGGTAATCTGGTATGGGGTGTATGTGCTGAATGCTCCCATAGAGTATTGGTCAAGGGTCCATTTTTGCACCACAGATTTGCCACAGACCAATTTGAGATAATTTTTAGATACTTGATGGATTTCTACAAGGTCATCCATCACCACATCAACACACTTTTCATCACTGAGTGCCGTATAAAACTCAGAATCAGAATACCGAGTATAGGATGCCAGAAGGACTCCTATTCCATGGGGCAAGTCATGATTTGGATAGTAAATTATTCGTGATGGGAGATCTGTGATCGATCTCCCTCCGTGGATCCCCTCGTTCTCCCAAAACTTCTCAGTGCAAATCAAAGCAATTTTAGTAGAACTTGCATAAGTCAAAGACCGCAGTGCCCGAGTCTTGGGAATGGAAAGACGTGGCACAAACTTGATGAGTCGTGTGGCTCTTGCTGTAGCTGTGATGAGGACATAGTCAGCAACCAGAGATGTAGGCCTGGACAACCAGTTGTAGAAGACTCTCACTTTGTTGTTGATGCGAAGTATCTTCTCCACCGTGCAATTGAAATGGACAATTCTAACCATTTCCTTAAAGAACCTTTGAGGAAGTTGATCAAATCCACCAGTAATTTCATCAAAACTAAATTTGAGAGAAGGAAAGAAACAAATGCAAGTACAGTTTATCAGTTATTTCTAAGTTATCTCAAAAAATGTTCATTTTCTGAAGACAATGCAATTAATGTCAAGTTGGAACAGATTACGCCTGTCGCATACATCTTTCCGGTTCTGAAGTTGCCACCCAGCTCAAGGTGGGTGGGTGGGGTGGGGGAAAGAGGCTCAGAATGCATACCTGCCAAAACAACTTACTATCTCCTGGGAACCAAGGTCATCCCAACTACCACTGACTAGAGACCGAACCCTATTGCACCCAATTTGACAACATGACCTGTGTCCTGGGGGGAGGGGGAATGCTTAACTTTTAACTGTGCAAAGGAACAGGAAATAGCCAGAGCTGTTTTTAACCTCATCTGTGCCCAATTCAGGGGTGGGATGCTACTGGTTCAGCCCGGTTCTATAGAACCAGTAGCTCTGAAGAGTAGCAGACACTGAACCACTTCGATGTCTGCTGCTCTGTTTGGCCCAGCCGCCCATCCGGGCTCTTGGCTGTCCTTTATTTCCTGCTTTTTCAACCTCAGCTGCTTTGCGCGGCACAGAGGAGGTTGAAAAAGCAGAAAAGAAGAGGAGTTTGAAATGCTGCTCACCCGCACGCAGCACTTGTCAGCTGTTTGGGCGGCACAGCTGAGATTTTTTGGAAATGGTCTATACATGCGCACAAAATGCATTCTCACCAGGGGTGGGATTCTACCTGCCAGAGAACCGGCAAATTGCGCCACTGGTGGGCCCCACCCCACACCGCCCACTCACTCCTTACCTGGGATGTGCGCCATCAAACTTGCCTGCTAAATTGCTATTTTTCCTTTTTTTACCCCAACCATCAGCTGTTCGGCTGTGCCGGGAGATTTAGATTAGCTACAATGCAGGAAATTGTTAGATTACTTGCTTTCTAGCTAATCTTTAGATCCTCGGCTCTGCTTTTAAGCAGAGCAGAGCCTTCCTTAGGACTGAAGCTTCTATTATTCAGTGCAGACTCCGGTAGCCGACTGCAGATAGATAGATCTCTAAGTGAATTGTGATTCTGTGAGCAACTCAATCTGCTTGCCTGCTTTGCCTGATTTTGGGTAAAAGTTGCTCTCTTTTTTTATAAAAAATTCAATATTTACATATAGTGTGTTGTGAGTTAATTTTGTGAGTTTGCTTGCTAGCAAATTTTATGAGTTTGCTTGCAAACAAATTTTATGTGACATACTCAGGTAGCCGATGGCAGAAAGATAGATCTCTGAATGAATCTGTGATTCTGTGAGCAACTCAATCTGCCTGCCTGCTTTGCCTGATTTTGGGTAAAAGTTGCTCTTTTTTAATTAAAAAACCAATATTTACATAAATATTTATAATATTTACATAGAAGCCATGCCCAGCCAGTCACATGACCACCAAGACACACCCACAAATTAGGACACACTCACAGAACCAGTTGTTAAGAAATTTGAATCCCATCCCTGGCCTAATTGATGTACTCAATATATTAGTGCTTTGAAGAAGATGGTGTATCGGAGTACTGATTTGCTTGGGTTCATCAATCTTGATAGTTAATGCAGTCCAATACTAGTTATTTTAGCCCATCTACTTGAGATCAGAGATTAGTTTCTGTTTCAGTTCAGGATTATTTCAACTGTCATA